TTCCTCCCAGTGCAGACATCACAGGCCACATCTTCAGGTCCTTGACTTGTTTCAAGAGGAGGAGTGGTTTCAAGCAGATGGCTTGTGGTCATTTTTCGAAGCACATTTAAAAATGTTTGTCTGTGTTAAATTATTCGGAGGTTGATCTGCAGTTTTAATCACAGCCAGTCACTCTGCTGTTGAAGTACTACTTTTATTTCTCACGGTTTAGATTGCTAGTTTGAGCAGAAGTTGTATTTTAGTGTCAGATACTAAGATTATGTAAATAAGCTGTCATTTAAAATCTCAGGGTCTGAATGCACGAGCTCATTTGACTGTCATGACACAATGATTCCAGAAAAAATGTATTTATGTTCATTTAATTGATAAATGTTTAACAGAAAGAGCTGATAATTGGGCGATACATGTTAGGTGTACAGTCAAACTGGAGACTCACTGTCTCTTCTCTCTCGTATCAGGTAGACTATAGAGACCAACTGCTTTGTGGGAAATGTAGTTTTATAGCTTCAGATTCTGTTGTTCAAGTGTTTGAATGTTCACCACTATGAGTTTAATTTCTGTTCTATGTGCGTTGCAGGGAGGTTATGCAGGAAACGCAGTAGGCTTCAAGCTGTCGTCCCTCCTGTCTCTGGCTGACACCAAAGCTAACAAACCAGGCATGAACCTGCTGCACTTTGTCGCTCTGGTGAGTAACATCATTGTTCATTTAATTTTTACACATACACCAGTGTGGCTGAAGACACAAAAACAGTTAAAATGCTCTTTGGTTGTCAGACACCATTGGTGAATGAGATTCATCTGAATTTGCTCAAGGTTCTGGATGTAGTCGGCTGTGCTGGTTGGCACTCATTGGCAGGAGGTCAGGGACACTACCTCCGAATGGGTAGGCTGGAGATGTGGTTCCTCTTTCTTTTTTGTCTTTTTTTTTTAGGGAGGAAGACCTTAAAGACCCTATTTTTATGGGGAATCACACCTTTAGAGTTTCCAGGGAAGATCTATGCTATGATGTGGTTGTCATCCTGGTGTTGCTTTGGGTGTTTGCCATTGTTACAGGCTACTTGGTACCTGGACAACTGCAACCAGAGCTTGGTTCACATTACAGTCAATAACTCATACTTATTCCTGGAGAGTGGTGGACTCCGCCACTGCTGGTTTTGTACAGACTCTTTCAGATCTGGTGGTCTCAGAAACACGTCTCTCCTTTTTGCAGATGATACAATCCTTTTTTTGATTAATCTATTAATGAAATTAGCTCTTGAGACAGTAGGAGTTTGAAGCACAGTGTGAAGTGGTTACAATGAAAATTAGCAGATCCACGTCTTGGGCTGTGGCACACCAGAAAATGGTTTGAGTGGTGAAGCGAGACCTGAAGCTGAAGGGGAAGCTGTTGAGTAACTAGTCGATATAAATTCGAACCCTCAGAATAAAATTGCAGATACAACAGGTGGAAATTAGTTTATTCTGACAAGTTGTTGGTTCAGCTTCAGAAAGTGTGATGCTCAGTAGTTCAGCAGGGGCTCAGAATAGAGCTCCAGGCAAGTCCTACTGGTAGAAGGCCTAAACATGCTGGTGAGATTATGTCTTTAAGGTGATTTCATACAATGTCTACCAGAAGGGGACCCTGGGGTAGAGAATGGGTCTCTTTATGTGGATTGAGAGCACCTCTGTACCACCAAAATGAGCAAGAGGAGGTAGTTGGAGAGAGCGGGTATCATGATTGGATGGATGGAGCATCTTTGATATTTTTTGCCCCTTTACACCATTTCACATGTCGTTGTGGTTATTTTTTGATGTTGCAGATGGTTTCCATTCCTTCATTAAATTTATGGGGTGATTCTGACCTCTGACCTCTGACCTCTTGGCTCCTCGTCCACCTGTGTTCGTTTGGTGTTTCACTGTCTGTGTGGATCAGTTAGTTTAGCTCTTTACACAGAGTGATGTGTGAGAGCTGTATGAATGTTGAGTTTAATGTCTCTAAAACCTAAATGTTAAACCTCTGGGAGCTCAAAAACAAAAAACAAATGTTGTGTTTTTCTATAGGAAGCCCATAAAAAAGATGAGAAGCTCTTGGAGTTTCCTCTCAAGCTGAGTCACATCCAGGCTGCAGCCAGGTCAGACATCACTTCATATTATTCACATATTAAATACTACAGTTGTCCATATACACCACTAGCATTTAAATATCTCAGTGAAGACAGAACAAAGATTTACCACAAAGCAAGAAAGCATGACACTACATTTCTCCATCAACCTGTTTTGTGGGATTTATTTGTTATACTTCTTTCCATTATCTTATAACATCTCTACAGAATCTGAGTGAACACCGCCCCCTGCTGGTTTCTTTTCAGTCCTTCATTTGATACTTAAATTACACCAGACACAAAATGAATGAAACCAGAGCAGAAATGAGGCTACATGGATTTGTGTTTTCCTTCCTTTGGTAGGATCTCATTGGAAACATTGGATGCTGAGCTGCATTTGCTGACGTCTCGCACACATTCAGTGGAGGAGAGCATCCAGAGAGACACAGAGCTGCTGCAGCAACTGGACAGCTTTCTGCAGGTAACACACATAGCAGTATTTTAGTTTTATATAATCTTTAAATAAGTGTGTAATTTAAAAAGTAATTTTGTGCCTATTCATGTTTGTGTTTTTATGTTTGTCTCAGCATGCCACATCATCTCTCTGCTCACTCCGCGGCAGTCGGCAACAGCTAAAAAGGGAAGGCAGCGAGCTGATCGACTTTTTCTGCGAGGACAGAGACACTTTCAGGCTGGACGACTGTTTCAGCATCTTCCACACCTTCTGCTCCAGGTTCACAAATGCTGTCAAGGTACAACTATGAATGCAAATCCATTACACGAGCTGTACAACAATCCACACAAGATCCAGTAGATGTGGTTAAAACTGTTGGTATACTTCAACTGATACATTAGTCTTCATCCCATATTTCATAACGCTTCTGATTTACAGTTTAACATATTATTTTCTAAACCTTCCATTTTGTGTGATTGCCAACAATGTCACCATTGTTGGCTTTTTGGCTCAAATGTGTCTCCATTGCCTCTGAGTAGTTTCAATTCCCAAACCCCTCTCACACGATGAGCTGTTGACAGAGACACAAATACCAGACCATAAATCAGGCATAAGAGGGGAAGTTGTATTTAAGGCCCAAGGGTTCACAGTTTGTTTTATTTTTTGTTTTGTTTTGTTTGCTTTGATTTGTGCATCAGGATCTGATGCATCAACATGCATAATATCTGTAGGCTATGGAAGACCAGAAGAGTCACGCCCATCAGGAAAATAACTTCTCTTTCTCTTTTTGAAGGAGAACATGGAGAGGGAGGCGAAGGAGGCGGCTCGTCGTCAGCGGATACAAGAGCTGGAGGAGAAGAAGAGGCACTCCTGGGCTGGAGGAGAAAAGGTAGGATGACGTACGCAGACACTGTAAAACAAAGTCAATCAAAGATGTCTAATGATGATCCACTCTCTGTTCCCGTTATAGGTGGATGGAGTCTATGGGCTGCGCTGCCACAGTGAGCTTGACATGTCCACTGCTTTGTCGCGGCATGACGAGGCCGGACTGTTGATGGAACTCCTGACCCCTAGGTCCCACCCTCGCTCACCAGTGAACAACTCCCACAGTCCTCTGGGACGTGCTGTGAGCTTACGTCGTTCCCGAAAGTCTCCATCCTGCTCACCATCTATTGCTGCTGAGCAGGAACTAAGCACTTTCCTGGAAAAGGCGACTGATCGCAAAAACATTCAGCAAAGAGGCAAAGGGAGCAGTTTTCCATCTCCCTCAAGTCCAGGATTCCCAGTGTCCACCCAGACGGCACCACAAAACTCCTCATCACCTTCCAAAAGGAGTCCAAAAAACAAAAACCATGCAACTGCCACTTACCTCAGCCAAAATGCTACCCAGACTTGTGCAAATGCCACTAATCCTGCAAATGAACTTGCAGTCAAACCTACCTCTGACTCAAACCAGCAATCTGAACACAACAACAAAAGCAGCAGTGATCAACCTGGCATGGGTTTAAGCAGCCATGCAACACTTACAACAAGAAAACCAAAAGATGTTGAACTGGTTTTAACTCCGCGGACTGACTGCACTGATAAGAGGTTTCAACAGAGCACCACTGCTACAGGAAACATGGTGGTGGTTTTAGAGAAATGCACGTTGGTTCCTGAACTAAAAGTGTTTGGCAGTGGCGACACTCTCACAAGTCATAGCGAAAACAGACATGTTGGTCTTCATCAAGATGATGTGACAATCACAGATTTGGAAGAAGAGAAAGGGGATGAATTGCAAGTTGATAAGGTGCATAATAATGGCCAACCGATTGTAAATCCAAAACAATCTGATGAGCAAGTCGGTGAGCTCAGCTCTTCTTCAACACCAAGAGAGGGCGATGAGGGGCAAGAGGATAAGGTGGTTGTATGGTGTGTGACGGGTGTGTGCGAGGCTACAAGTGACACACAAAGCACCTATGCAGAAACTGAAAACGATCAGCATAAGGGTGATAACCAAGGAGGAAACAAACAAACTTCCTCTGCTTTAGCCAATGACATGCCTTCAGAACCTCAACCGGCCAATGAAAAACCAGTGCCTGTACCCATCAGCAGCCAACCAGTGCCTGTCCCCCGCTGTGATGACACATCACTGCTTGTTTCTTCTTCCGTGTTGCGCCCGAAAGAAGCTCCAACACCTAATGTAGTGCCTGCTCTCACAGCAGATGCTTCTGAGAAAGATAAAGAACTGGAGGAAGAGGAAGAAGCAGAAGTGTCCACCAACAGGAACAGTGATGGAGTGACCGTCTCAAAACAATCAACAGAAGAGAAAAGCAAAAACAACATGGCATCTAAAGACTCAACCAGTAAAACTGCAAAAGCAGCTTCTTCCACCAAAGTAAAAGCAGAACCAGCAACTCCATCTAAACTACCCAGCAAGAGCCTTCCTATGTCTAAAGTCCAAACTAATGGGAAGAAACCTACCCCAAACACTATCTCTGCATCTGGCAAATCCAAATCTATCCGGACCCTCACAACCTCCGAGAACAAGGACATGAGGAGGGTTGTGCCAATATCCAGGACCAACAGAAGTCCATCCAGAATCAAACATACAGAGAAGAATCGAGGCTCCTCCAGCACCGCAGTGCCCACCAGTCTGACTCCCTCAAAACGAAGCAGTGCTTCCCCTCGACGAGTAGCGAGGCCTGCAAATGCTCCTTCATCCCGACAATCTGGGATCCCCAAGACCTTGGATCCAAAGGACTCAAAGAACCAGAATGTTTCAGGTAGTCAGCCATCTGCCCGAGAACACAACAAGGACTTTCAAGGAAAGATGTCCAGCCAAAAGCCCTTAATGAAACCTAAAGCCCAGCAGGAGGAGAAGATCTGTCGCTCCACACTGCGGGCACTCTCTCAGGGTGGAAGAAGTGGAGGAGGAGGCAGCGTCAGTGCTCCTGCCACTCCTTTGCGCAAAGCCACTAGCTCCTAATCATCTGTGTCTCCGGGTTTTGCACGGAGCACAGCCTCTTCTTCTTTCAGACGTACTCACACCAACCTTGCTGTTCCTGCTGCTTCCCACTCCCCCAACATTGGGTCAGACCCCTCCCCCAAACCTTCTTCCAAGACCTCCTCCTCTGTTACCCCATCCAGCACCTCCTTGCCTATTACGCGATCAAGATCACTAAGAGTCCATGCGTCAGCAAGATCCTCAGATGTCCAAAAACTCTCCCCCTCCTCACAGAGGAAGTCTCAGAGCGTCAAATCATCTCCTCATACATCGCGCCACGACTTGCTGGCTCCCCCTAAAGGCCACAGACGAAATGACAGTGACAGTGACAAGTCCGCTCATTCTCAGGACTCGGTCTTGCCCACAAGGCCGCGCTGGAGATAAGCTCTTGGTTGTTTTGTTTTGAGGATTTTTTCCTAATCACTCCTCCTTCAGGAAAGTCAGGAGATACATCCATTATGAAATGTAGATACCTTTTAAAATGTTCAAGTTTAATTTGAGTAACAAAGGACGATACAATCCAATGTGAAACAATGAGATTGTCTCGTATGGATTTAAATCTTGTTTGTTACCTTGTTTGTTTGTTATTATAAGGTTTAAGTGCATCGGAGCTGAAAAGTTCACTACGTTTTCTTTGTACTATATTGTCCTTGTAATGTACTTTAAATAACCACAGAGGGGAAAAAACAACTTGTTTTCAAGGTATATTTTTATTCTTTCTAAATCTATTAATTGAGAGTACAGTCCAAGATTAATGACAATAATGACCTCTCCTCACGACCTCAGGAAAGCCGATGTCTTATCAGAAATCACAGACCTTTTTGTTTTGGTCGGAGTGAAGCTCTGAGATCTCTGGATGAGTCGGGAAATGACTACAGCCTGTGATGTGATTGCTAACAAGCTTTCAGTCAAAACCACACTAACACAAGCAGTTCTGAATAATTTGGTGGCCGTAGCCATGGCTTGATCTCTCCTATTAGGCCTACAGACGCTTGAGTCAGTCTGTCCGTTAATCCACAGACTAAAGGCTCCTACTATGAGAGTAAGGGGTACGCCATATTGTATGAAAGAAACTATTACAACCAACATACAAACTGCAAATTTAAACACTGAATTGAAAAGAGGGGAGCTAAAAGAGGCAAACAGAGTGAATAAAATCTAATTTCATTTTATTTATACTCCCTTTGATTTATTCCTGTGGTACTTTTTTTCTTTTTTGAAAGAGAAATATCTGCAGCTATAAAGATGTACATCTTTGGAGTATCCTGAAAATTCTGCAGTTTTTAAAGGTCATGTGACTGAATGCCTTTTCGATTCACAAGCACCTTTAACTGCACAAACCGTGCTGCAGAATCTCATTAATCCAGGCTGGACTTATATAGAGATAATAATATTACTACAATACTAATTATGTTTTTAAAAAGCCTGACATAACTAATCTTTGAGAGCGGTGGTGTCTTTTTTAAAAAAACACAATCAGTTTAAACAAGGAGATATTTATAACTGATTAAAAACAGACACTTTCTAACTTCCTTGGAAAATTGAAGTCGTGTTTTCATATGAGGACATTTTTATGTTTATCTGTCTTTATTTATGTATGTATGTAATGTTTCCCTACTAATTAATAAAGCATTGTTCCTCAGTCACTCTACGCACTTCATTCAAAGACTGTATTGCACTTTTTCCTGCCAGAAGACAATGTTTTAATTGAAATAGACTGAAATATCTTGCTTCAAGTGGATGAATGTCTGGAAACATTCACTTTAAAACCAAGCACATTTGAAACTATCTACACATTTCCAATTCTTACAGCTGCATTTTGTATCTAATCTTGAGCAGAACGTCTTTGTGTCTGCACCTCTCATTAATTCTGGTCTTGTATTAAATTTAAAATGGAGAAACTAAAACAATCAAGACCATCATCAATCTCAAAATCATCATTTTTATGGTTTTTAGAGTTCAAGAAACAAGCACAAATGTGTTTTTGCGTCTAGGTTTTCTGTAGTGATGTAACAGAACGCTGAAGCTAAAGTAACTGTAGTGATTTGTGTAGAGGAAAACGTCTCTGTGGTAACATCACTGCCAACGTGTTCATCTTGAATGTGTTATTAGAGTTAAAAAAAAAAAAAACTTTTACAAGTATCTATTTCTTTAAACACTGTAATAAGAATTGTGCTTTCAGGCGTTACTGCTGTTCTCTTAATATTTGTCAAGTCTAAAACCTTCTCTGTAAACCCCTACAGATGGCTGTGTGTAAAAATCCCAGTAGTTTCTGAAATACTCAGACCAGCCTGTGTAATACCAACAACCAAACCTGTTAAACTTCTTTTCCATATCTACGTCCATAAATGCGTGAAGCCACTGCTATGTGATTGGCTAATTAAATATTTGCATTGGTGAGCAGTTGTACAGGTTTACCTAATATACCGTAATTGTCGGGCTATAAGCCGCTACTTTTTGCACAAGCTTTGAACCCTGCGGCTTTTAGTCAGGTGCGGCTTTTCTAAGGATTGTCCATGATTTTTGTGATATCGTAAGAGGATTTGTTTTGTTTGTTCTGCTGTTCTCCGGCACTACGTTGCCTGGCGGAAGGATTGGGGTTCAAGAGTGGTATGTTGGTCACATGTCCGTCCGCCAGGCAACGTATTGCCGTATGAAGTAGCGCGAAAAACAAACTTCAAAGTAGCGCTACCGTTCAGCGGGAGGCGTGGATGATGAGCGGCGATAAACTTGCGAAAAGCAAGTTATGCCCAACTCCACCAGTGGATTCTGACAGCGTGGAAAAGTGTGAAAACATCCATGATCACCAACGATTTTGAAGGGCTGGACTGCTGCATGATGGAGAGCAGGACACCGCCACGGCCCTTCAGAGGGTGTTCGACTCTGACACTGACAAC